TGCCTTCAGCAGTCTTCCCTAACACTTGGTTAACAAATTCTGAGGTTTGCCCAGCAACTGGGAGACCGAGTGTGTCTTTAATGAGGATTTCAAGTTTCTGCCCCATGCTGGGTCCTCTCTCTTCTCTTGGATTCTGAACTCGGTTTACAATGTCTTGTTTGATGGAGTTGATTACAAACAATAAGTTGTCATATTCAATGTTGAGGCCCCACAACTTCACTTTATTAGCTTCATACTGGGCTTTCTTCTTTAGCCTGCAAGCTCTGGAAGTCAGCTTATTTTTTTTCTTTCCTTGACCTTGGCCGGGCTGTTAAGGGAAGCTCACTGACTAGAGTCAGGTCACTAATCACCTTATTCAACTTTCGTAATTCATTACCAATCTGGAGTAGTTTTTTTAGGGTTTGGAGTCAGGTCTTCCACATCAGTTCTCCGTGACTTCTTAACTGTATATTTCCCATGATGTAAGCCATTTTTCTGATACATATTACTTGGCAAGGTGTCTCGGTTCCACTCAGATGGCCTCAGAATCCTCTCTTGCTGTGATGGTGTAAGTTGCTTACTGTACTCCCAGAAGTATCTTCTTTTCCCTCTCTTCCGAGAAGATACGGAAGTCATCTCCTTCAAGTCCTTTACAGAGTCGTTTTCATAGCCTGGTTCAGAGAATGTGTCGATAATATCATCATCTCTGTAATCCTCATAATCCTCTTCCTCTTCTTCCTCCTCATCATTTTCAGAAAGCTCATGCTCACTGTCAAACCCTTCATCATGGTCTTCATCATCAATATCATCTTCATCATCCTCATTGTCTTCAGGACTGCATTTGGTCGGGTGTTCTCTCATGTAGTCAGAGACAAAAAGAGAATAATTGTGCTCTTCTTTTTTTTGGGATGAATCTGAAACAGAAGTGCTGGCAGAAAGGTTGCCACTCTCTGCTGTGACAACTGACCCAGGACCACCCTGGGGCAGAGGACTAAGTAATAGTTCCTGGGTTTCTCTGAAAGGCAAAGCAGGTGTGCCATGCCCCTGACAAGGCTCCATTCCCCTGATCTCCTGTCTCTTAGCCACAGCTCCACAGTAGCAGGTATTCTCCTTGCCTGCATCTGTGTGTGCCTGGCTCAGCAAGGGCTGGCCCTGTCGCACAGGGTTGATCTTGACCTTTGCTTTTTTTTACATAGTCTTTACATTCAACATGAAAATTTGCCTTTTCATTATGATACATGTTGGTCTTCACCATGATCTGTGTGCTTGAAGTAGGTTTACTTGCGTTTTGGACCTCAGCCTGAAGTGTCTTTGAAGAACACACAGGGGAGCTGCTCTACTTGTGATCTTTTTACTAGGGAATGGAGGGGGCAAGGGATTTTGTTTGACACTGAAAAGTGAATTGGGATAATAAAGGGAATCAGGAACAGACTGAGAGTCCTCACTATTAAGCTGGGCCAAGGTTGGAGTTTTACGTATGACCTCTTCATCTTGGTAAGGGCTAGAAAAGTCATCAAGACCCAGGTAATCCACTTCTTTTGTTCCCCAGATGTCACAGCTGGTTAGTTTGGTGTACTTAGTTAAGTCTTCACAGTATGTATCCCACTGTTCCTAGTTTGAGGTTAAAGCATCCTCATTATCCAGGACATCTGTGAAAGACTCCAGATTTTCAGTGTCTTTGCAGTCTTCCAAAGAAAGGAAGTTGTCTCTAGGATTCTGTTGATAGTTCATCTCTCTATCCAGCTCATACATGAAATCTGGATCAGAACTGTTGGCCAAGAGATCTGTTCTCATCAGAGTCTGTTCTTAAAAAGTGTGGCTTCGAAAGGCATCCCCAAAAGGCGAGTCCATTCTGCTTACGCTGGGCTGAGGCATTTCCAAGCCCAGATCCTGTGAGTCCAATTCCAAACTTCTTCTTTTTCTTGTTTGTAAATTCCTTTCCAGCTTTACTTTAAATTCCAAGATCAAAGATGATTTTCACAATAAACCGCAGATTTTCCCAGAATGCCTTCAGTTCAATTGCTTGGGCACCACTTTTTAAAAAAATAATAATTTTGCAGTTCAGTCTCTTCAGGCGTCTCATACTACAAGGCCAGCCGGATTATACATCCAACCTAAGTTAGATAACAACCTCATTTTTAAAAGGCATTATCTAGAGACAGAAGAGCTTAGAAAATCAAGCTTTTTAAACACTGGAGCCAGATTTCCAAAGAAAGAAGAAAAATAATTTATTCCAAAGATGTAGAAGTAACAAATTCATCCTAAAAATAGAGCTTGGTGTACATCTGCTGGGGTAGAGCTTCTCTTGAGCGGGCACTCCTGACTGCCCCACTGAGTCTTATTTGTCTTGCAGCAATTTTAAACACATCGCCGACTCTCATGTTGTGAGCTGGCAAGAGCCATTTTCAAAGCCACAGGCTCCAAGACAAGAGTAACAATTTCTCAGAACAGCATCTTTTCTCTCAGCGGAGTGCAGACACATCTCACAGAGTCAGCTAAGTAGGCACATAATTCATCAGAGTGTAAAAAAGGTGCAGGAAAAAATACTGTATGTAGAGGAAGGTCTTCAAGTGTAAGGCAGGTAATGCTCAGAGTGGGCTATCGAAGAAGGTGGTCTGGGTGTAGAGCTGATTTTGCATCTAGAAGGCATTCTCTCTGTGACAAAAGATAGCAACAAACTGAACAGGTCACCAACATGGTGATAATATCTCCCCGGTTAGGACCCTTGGGGATAAACCAGGGCACGAGAAGGCCCACGAGGCCCCAGAAAACGCTCATCATGATCAGAGGCACAGTGAGGCCGTGGTACGCCATGCCTGTACCTCAGCAGACAAACCAGTCTGCCGCCTCACTCTCAGTCCCACCCAGAAGTGTCAACAGCGGCTCACGAGGTTGAAGTCTTAAGTCATTTCTTGACTCGTCAGTATTGATTGACTCAGTAATACTTGTCAATACAAAGCAATACAAAAACTCATCTTGAAAATAGGTTTGGTGAGGAACACCAATATTAAGTTATTTTGTTGTGACACAACTAAAGTAGTCACAGAAATTAAAATGTTGGTGTGTAATGCAGAGTAGAAATTGCAGTAGGATGTAGGAGAGGTGGAGAGAAGTGATGGATCTGGAAAGACGCTGAAACAAAGGTAGCCTTAACTACATGGCTGGATGAAGTTTCAAGTTGCTTGCAAGTGTTTGGTAGTAGAACACATGAAAATTGAGCACACTTTTTTATTTGTAGTGTATTGCTCATATTGATGGCTTCAGCTTTTCCTAGTTTTATGCCTTCATTCAACCAAAGTGTTATCTGAAAATTTACAATAATAAGAATTTACAAAGTTCTTATTCCAATGTCATCGTTATTAACACCAGTGGAAGTGTCCTGATTTACATGAAGCATCTCATTTAATCATTAAAACAAACAAACAAACAAGCAAAACTGGAAATGGCCCATTGTTACCCCCAAATGAGGAAACGGCTAGGCCTCGAGAGCAGCAAAGTTTAGGCACGGAATAGATAGTGTGAATCCCAACTCAGGTTCTAAACCTATCCACTGTGCTACACGTTTTAGTGCCCTGCTCTCTCTACTTCTTCATAGTTTCCCTGGAGCTACCATGTTTAAGAATGGGATGATCCAGAAACTTTTGTCTCTAAATTCCCCTGGTATTTGGGGATTGATTTGTCAGAATCAATATTGGGAAAATTTGAACCTAGTTAAAAAAATAGTTAAAATGTATCTCAGTGAAGGCAGAGAAAAGCTTCCCTTTTTATTTAAACTTGCTGACTAGATCATTAAACACATTTCTTTAACAGGGTGAAGGATTATACCCTCTTATGTAGTTGTTATTCTAGATATCTGTGGGCTGACATTATAGCAAAGAAAGACTTGATTAGCCATTAAGCAAGGCTCTTGAGACAGGGAGTGTGTGTGACTGTTTCTGAGATTTTATCCATCTTCCTTTCCAATGCTGCACTCACTGCTGGGATGCAGAAATAAAGACAGTATTCCACTGATGTCATCCAATGGAGCTAAGAACCTGGATGAGGGCCAGCAGTGAGAAATAGCCCCAAACACTGACACTGGTCAGCTTTCATCTGGAAACTGAAAAAACAGACAACCTAAAGTGGCATTGCTCTTCCCCATGCCTCCTGATTCTGCAGCAGTGCTGTGGAAAGCTGATGGGGGACCCTGTAACAAACAGAGAAGAGACGCTCTAACAAACAGAGAAGAGACCCTGTAACAAACAGAGAAGAGACCCTGTAACAAACAGAGAAGAGACCCTGTAACAAACAGAGAAGAGACCCTGTAATAAACAGAGAAGAGACCCTCTAACAAACAGAGAAGAGACCCTGTAACAAACGGAGAAGAGACCCTCTAACAAACAGAGAAGAATAGCCCCACACCAGCACAAGCTCTAAGTGGCCTCCCCTACCCCCCTTGTTCTCAATCCACACCAAAAGCTGTAAGAGATACATCCAAGAATGTCCAAACCTCTATTAAATTAATTTCTTCTGCGTTTGATATTAAGTGAAAGTTCTTAAGTAGATTTGCTCTAAACTTTAACTCATGGCAGTAATCTCCCATAAGCTCAGACAGGATGAAATTACCTAATAGCCCCTAGATGTTTAGTTGTCTGGAAAATTCTGAAATGAAGATTTATACCTTTTTGGATTCTTAAACAAATGTCTTCATTTTTCTGCATTATGTGGGCCAGTCTTTAAGACAGTGCTTCTCAACTTGTGGGTCACAACCCCTTGACAAACCTCTATCTCCAAAAAAAAATATTTACATTACAATTCATAACAGTAGAAAAATTACAGTTATGAATTTGCAATGAAAATAATTTTATTGTTGCGTGTCGCTACAACATGAGGGACTTTATTAAAGGGTTGCAGCATTAGGAAGGTAGAGAACCACTGCTTTAAAGGATGCATTCACACATTCATGGTACTATTGAATGCCTATTAGGGGTTTGTTATCATTAAACTCTTACTTTCCCATTGATTTTTTTTTTTCCTTGCAGGCTCAATTTGAACTTAAGACATTTCACATCCGGGGTGAGCATGCATTAATAACAGCAAGACTTGAAGAAACTATTGAAAATCTCAAGCAACAGTTAGACCACCGCTGGGGAGGAGGATGTGAAGAGATGAGAGACGTATGCATCTCTACTGATGACGACTGCCCCCCAAAGGCCTTCAGAAATGTGTGCATCCAGACAGACAGAGAGACGTTCCTCAAGCCCTGTGAAGGTGAAAGCAAGACAACCAGAAGCAACCAGATAGTACCCAAGAAGTTGAATATCTCGTTAACCCAACTCTCTCCCACAAAAGACAGTAAAGACATCCACGTACCACTTCAGACAGGGGAAGGCATCTCATCCAGTCAACAGAAGATATCACCTCCACCTCCCACACCTCCCCTTCCTCCCCCTCTCATTCCTCCCCCTCCGCCTCTCCCCACTGGACTTGGACCTTTGCCACCAGCACCACCCATATCACCTGTGAGTGCTGGGCCACCACCACCACCTCCTCCACCTCCTCCACCACCTCCCCTGCCTCCAAGTGCTGGACCTCCCCCACCTCCTCCCCCACCACCACTTCCTAATGTCCTGGCTCCTCCTAACAGCGGAGGGCTTCCTCCTCCTCCTCCTCCTCCTCCTCCTCCTCCTCCTCCTCCTCCCCCTCCCCCCCCAGGACTTGCACCTCCACCTCCTCCTGGACTATCCTTTGGACTCAGCTCTTCTTCTAGTCAGTGTCCTCGTAAACCAGCCATTGAACCCAGTTGTCCCATGAAGCCTTTGTATTGGACTAGAATACAAATAAGTGATAAGAGGTAAGCTCTCCCTTGACCCATTCTCAGTTACAAATTCACAGGAGTCTTCCCAAGTGGTGTTTTATTATTGACAGCTTAATATTTACATTGGGTAATACCCATTTTTAAATATTATAGTATGGTGAATGCCTTGAGTACACAAGCTTACAGTGTCTGGGGGAGATAGTTTCTGCCAGGTCTTCTGGGAGAAGGAATGTGTTCAGTATCAGATTCTTCTCCAAGATAAATGTTTCATTTTATGGACTAGAGAAGAGTTCAGGTCTAAGCTAGGGCCATCTCTAACACCACTGACTTAGTTGAGTAATCATAAAGACATTGGAACAGAGTCTGCACTATTGGTTCACTGAGGATTTCTGCAATATCTTTTATGATACCCTTTCTTAGTTTTTGATAATCAGCCTTTGGGTCTGGTGTTGTCCTTTCTTTTTCTATCACTGTGACAAATACCTGAAATGTGAAGGATTTATTTTGGCTCATGGTCTCAGAGATTTCAGTCTATCATGCCAGTGAGAGTATGGCACAGTGAGGTAGCTCATCTCCTGGCCAGGAAGGAGAGAAACAGAATACAACAGAAGCTTTCTCCTTTTATTTCATCTAGGCCATGAGCCTGTGGGATGATGTACTCATATTCAGGGCTGATCTTCCTACCCCATTGTAATTCTCTCTGGAAATGTCCCTGTAGATACATTCAAAGGTATTCTTCACTAATCTCTAGGGCTCCTTGCTGAATCTGGATATTTAGCAGTTGTGGGTATCCTTTCAATTTTTTATGAAAATACTGAGATGGCTGAGTTATTCATTGTCTAGATCAGAAGAGAGTCTTAAAATGTAACCCCCACTTTTGAACTCTGTTCATAAGACTTCTTTTACAGTCATATTCCTTATTGATGTCCAGAGAAAGTACCATGTGTGGGGAGCTGATGTGGCAAGCACCTTCCATTTGTATATGTTATTGAGCTTGGCCTATAAGGCGGAAAGTCATGATGACTTGGAAACCTCCATCCAAATAAGTTAGAGTTAGATTTATTGCTTCATTTCTGAATCTCTCAGAAGGACAATGAGAGAGAGAGATTGACTTGTTTCTTAATCGCTTTCTAGTTTTGAAATTTATTTGTTTGCAAAGAATGTATATTTTCGAGACAGGGTTTCTCTTCGTAGTTTTGGTGCCTGTCCTAGATCTCGCTCTGTAGACCAGGCTGGCCTCAAACTCACAGAGATCTGCCTGGCTCTGTCTCCTGAGTGCTGGGATTAAAGGTGTGCGCCACTGCTGCCTGGCTAAAACTACATTTTTTAAAAAAAGCTTATTCCCCAATTCAAAATGGTGGTAGTGAATTTTCAAGCTTTTCTAAAATTTTGCTTAGGGAAGGCAACATAACTAAACAAAATAACTTATGGTTCACAATTATAGAAAAAAAAATTAGGAACCAGTATAAGAGCAACGGAAATACCACCAAACCAAGCATGTGATGACCAAAGTTGATGATGTATTTCATATTGTCCCCAGTCCTTTTGCCAAAAAATAAGGGTCAAGAGTTTACTTGCAGAAATTTCTAGATGTATTTATTTAATGCTGATAAAAGTGCTTTATAATTTCCCAAATGAATGGTTTAAAAAAAAAGATGATCCTAAAATAGTCCCCAACACTAACAGTAATGTGCTAGTATCCCATTTCTCATTCAAGATTTAGATATTTCCTAAGAGATGATTTCCCGGAATATTTGAGTTGTGTTTCCTTATTAGTGCTCTCAACTCATTGTACAGTCATTCTACAGTGATGAATCCCACCTGTGAGCCCTGGACTAGCACATTCTGACAGCACATATAACTGTCTCACACCTGTTTCTCACTTGTGTGCCTTCCCTTCATCCCCCAAGAGACTTCATGAGCAGCCAATGCCATAGACATAGCATCATAAAACCTCATGCTGGAGGACAGGCCCTTCATCCACTGTTCAAAGAAGAGTGAATGAGAGTTGGGGGAAAATCACTGATTTTTTTTTCCTCTTGTAATTTCCCACTTTTTTTTTTTTAAATGGAAAACAGTCAAATGCTCAAACTTTCATTAGTTACATTGGTTGAGCTGGTTCTGCAAACACGGTAAATCTAGTACTTCACTTTCAAATCAAATGAAAAGCAGATGAACAGGACATTAGGAGTGACTGACTTGGTAGACATGTCAGCCTTGTCCTCTCTTTGATGTGTTAAGACCACAGCACGGCCACTCCCTGCCAATGTAACACATTCCCATTCTTTCATCACAGGTTCCCTCAAAAAAATTTTTATAACTCTGAGCACAACTGCTTTGAGTATGAAAATCATGGTTTGGTACCAAATCATTTAATAGTGTAACGAATATGTTTATTATATGCAAAGTAGTCTATGTCGTATATTATATAAAGGTAGCTTTATTTTGAGTTTTAATTGAAACAAAAATATATATTGAAACAAAGGTAAATACTGTTAAGTGTTATGGATTATGCATGCCATGCTCATGTATTTGAAAAATCAATATAGAAGAAATTTATTGTTTGTTTCTGTGGCATTAATAATAACTTGAGAAAGCATTTCAATGCCACCAATGTGCAGAAAGCAAATGGCACACACATTCCAAATGAGGGAGACTCTAGAGAGGCCCACATACCCCAGCTCTTCGAGGTGCTTCTGATATACTTGATTTCCAGCAGCTGCCTGCTCATTGCTTCATAACAGCCTATTTCTGGAAAATAAAATACAAAATCCCCATGGATGCTTTAGTTGGAATCCCCATGGGGGGCTGATGCATGGCAGAATTATATGGTTTTGTGTGGCAATGTTGTCTCTGGTGGGATCCTATAAACCCAATGTATCAAATGAGCAGCTGACTAGTCACATATTAAGTCTCTGGACTGAGCTGACCTGACTCAGTCCTGAAAACTGTATTTAAAATCCTCAGAGGGGGCACATCTCTACCTTACTGTTCCATTTTCAATCCTTTAAAGAATGACTTTGGGCCTGTGAAATGACTCTGTGGGGGTAGGATACTTGCAGCCAAGCCTGGTGACTTGAATTTGATCCCCGGGTTCTGAGTGGTGGAAGGAGAGAACTGAAATTGTCCTCTGACGTGCACATGCATGCCATGGCATGCATATCCTTCCCCACATACATATCTCTTGCATATATGCATATACATTTTTTTAAAAGGATGACCTTGCCCATGTATAGAATTGATTATCCCTTCTGCCTCCCTGTAATGTTATTTTTGGCTTCTGGAGATGCCACAGCTGAGAGAGGAACCAAACCTCACCCACAGGAATTCTAGTCCTAAGGGCCTTCTCTAGCACTCTTGACTGAACTAATGACCATCATGTTTTTTGGATCTTTATGTGAAGATGTAGGTTCAAATATCCTGTTACATATTTTGACTTCTAAAATGTGTGATATGAAAAGCTTTTATCTGAGCTTTACCAGGGTTTTACACATTTTAAAAAGGGTACTAGAGAAAAATTTCAACATATTATACTATTTCCTGCTTTGTTTCCTACAGTTAACTTGATGCTTTCTCTTTCAAGCCAAGATGCCACACCAACTTTATGGGACTCCTTAGAAGAACCTCATATTAAGGACACCAGTGAATTTGAATATTTATTCTCCAAAGACACAACTCAACAGAAGAAAAAACCCCTGTCAGAGACCTACGAGAAGAAGAACAAAGTCAAAAAGGTACTGTGAGATCATTATTGTAATCATAGGCACATGGAAATTCACTACATCCTGCTTGTTGTTGCTCTTGTCCCAGAAAATGATCTAAGTCTTAGATGGCAGAAGGATCCAGTTAGTTTAAGAAACCTGGGCTTGCTGTTTTGTTTTTATCTTCTGAATTTTCAAATTTTATTCTGAACTATTGTTTTTCTTGGTTAGGGTTACTATTGCTGTGATGAAACACCATGACCAAAGAAACTGGTGGAGGAAAGATTTTACTAGGCCTATGCTTCCTTGTCACTGTTTATCATTAAAGAAGTTGGGACAGGAACTGAAACAGGGCAGGAACCTAGAGACAGGAGCTGATGCAGAGGCCATGGAGCAGTGTTGCTTACTCATTCGCCCCTCATGGCTTGCTCAACCTGCTTTCTTATAGAACCCAGGGCTGCTACCCTGGGGTGACCTCACCCATAATGAGCTAGGCTCTCCTATATCAATCCCTGATTAAGAAAATGCCCTATAGACTTGCCTACAGTCGGATCTTATGGAGGCATTTTCTCAATTGAAATTCCTTTTACTCCAATGAACCTAGCTTGTAACAAGTTGACATAAAACTAGCCAGCACAACTATAGTCATTAATTCTATTTTAAAAATGTCTTTAAATTGCTGTTAGTGAAAGTAGTTTGTATTCCACCCAAAAAATAGATCTCATAGGACTGCGGTAATTGCTCACTTGGTAAAGTGCCTTGCCAATAAACGTGAAGACCTGATTTTGATCCCCAGGGGTTCAAAAAAGACAGGTGTAGAGTGAGTGCCTCTAATATTGGCACTGGAAAGACAAAGATAAGAGGATCTGTGGGGCTTGCTACCCAGTCAGTAGAGTGAAGTCTAGGTTCCACAGGAGACTCTGTCTCAAAAAATAGGGAATAGAGTAATTGAAGAAGACACCCATTATCAGCCTCTGACTTCCAAATGCATGTGCACTCACTCATGCATACATAAATATGTATATATACATGCAATTTTATCTCATCAATAAATTCATTCATAGAACCAATTTATTAGACTCTCTGGTACAGGGCAATGTTCTAAGTATGTGCTAGAATGTGATAACATGTAGCCATTTGAATAATAACAAACAATGGAATGTTCAGTCCTTTACACTAGCTATTTTTCTTCAGTAGCTACTAAATATGGTAACACAGTAAGTTCTTTTGGACGGCTCTTTGTAAATATTAGCAATGTGTAAGAGGGAGAAAAAACAACCCCCAAATGGTTGTTGCCCTGTGGAGTTTAACAGTCATTAATACAAGCAAATTTTGGCAATCCTACAGTAAAGCAAGGTGAGGGGATCAGCATAGGCAAGGTGTGGGTGGGGCCTGCAGTTTTAAATGGGGTTTTCAAGGCAAGTCCCATTGAGAAGATGACGTCTGTGTAAAAGCATGAGGATTTAAAAACCAAAAGCCACTAGTCATCTGTAGAACAGATCTGTGGAATGTCATTCTGTATGCTGTGAATGTGTGTTGCTCTGATTGGTTGATAAATAAAATGCTGATTGGCCAGTAGCCAGGCAGGAAGTATAGGCAGGACAAGCAGATGAGGAGAATTCTGGGAAGAGGAAGGCTGAGTGAGGAGTCGCCAGCCAGACACAGAGGAAGCAAGATGTGAAGGCAGAACTGAGAAAAGGCACCAAGCCATGTGGCTAAACATAGATAATAATTATGGGTTAATTTAAGTGTAAGAGCTAGTCAGTAGTAAGCTTGAGCTAATGGCCAAACAGTTTTAATTTATATAAGCCTCTGTGTGTTTACTTGGGTCTGAGTGGCTGCGGACTGGGTGGGACACAGGACAACTTCTGACTACAAATGGCACCCAACATGGGGCAAGAATTTCCACCCAAACCCTGAGAAAGCTTTAAAAAGGGGTTCTAAAATGGATCCAAGAGCTGTTTCCTAGCTGTGTCTCTCAGGAAAGGTGTGATACAGAGACGCTGAGACCTGCAGTCTTGAGCTACAGTATGGCAGATTTGTGACATATAGGTTTGACCTACAGCATGGCAGATTCCCACCACAATACACAGTGGTGTTTCCAAGCCATGCAGCACACTGTGTGGTGGATTTAGCTTTTATTAATACAAAAAAAAAAGTTTCTGGGCTACATGCTGCTGGATGGGGCACGGACCCATAACCCTGAGATTAAGAGTCTCATGCTCTACCAACTGAGCTTACAATGCTCTTCCTGTTTACTTAAGTAATAATATATCCTCCTGGAGTCTTTCATGTAGTTGAAGACCAGACAGTTATAATTTTCCTTGGTTATTATAAAAGATAAATTAGATATGAAACATTAAACTCACAAATACAGGATAAATAGAATATTTTCTTTAATTTTGTCAAATACAAAAACTAGATATTGTAACAATAATTCTTGCTGGATAACTGTTGTTATATGTAATTTTATTATGTTAAATTTAAAAATTTCCCTTTTGATTAGACAGAAAAGGGGAAGTACTGTGGAATGTTGTTCTCTATGCTGTGAATGTGTGTTGTTCTGATTGGTTGATAAATAAAATGCTGATTGGCCAGTAGCCAGGCAGGAAGTATAGGCAGGACAAGCAGATGAGGAAGGGTTGAGTGAGGAGTCGCCAGTCAGACACAGAGGAAGCAAGATGTGAAGGTAGAACTGAGAAAAGGCACCAAGCCATGTGGCTAAATATAGATAATAATTATGGGTTAATTTAAGTGTAAGAAGAGCTAGTCAGTAATAAGCTTGAGCTAATAGCCAAGCAGTTATAAATAATATTAAGCCTCTGTGTGAATATTTTATAAAAGGCTGTGAGACTGTAAGTGAGAGATTTGTCACGACTGCAGGCCAGGTGGTACACAGGAAAACTTGCAGCTACAGAACAACTTTACCATCATCCAGCAATCAGGCAGATATGAGGCCCAATATGACCTCAGTTAAACACCTCGACGCAAAGAAAGGTGTCAGCCCTTGCTCTCTCCTAATCCCTTAGCCATAGCACAAGATAACATCTGTTATGGTTTAGTAAGTCCCCCAAAGACCCATTTGGCAAAGCTTTGGTTTCCAGGATGGTACTACTAGAACCTTTGAGATACAGAGCCCTATAGAAGGTTCTTAAATCACGGGGGACATACCCTCATAGGATTATAGGCTCTTAGTTTCTCCTCACTTCCAGCTCATGAAGTGGGCAGAGCAGTTGGGTCTGTCATGTTCTCCTGTCCTGATATGGTGCTTTTGCAGAAAGCCTGAAGCAAAAGAAACACTAGATTTTGACATAGAACATACAGAATAATGGGTAAAAATATGCCTTTTCTCTTTCTAAGTTATTTGCTTCAGGAATTCTCAGGTATCTTGTTGTTGTGCATGAAAGCTGACTAATGCAAGAGCCATACATTATGCCCTTCTGTGATAATGAATTGAGCTCATATTGTCCATAGTCTGTGGTATGTGATCAGCTCACATTCTATGATGGCTGCTCTCCACATTCCGTGATAGCTTGCTATGGTCACCACCATTGCCACAGTCCCTTTGTATTCATGTTTGGTTAACAGCAGAATGGTGCTAAGGACTCAGTGAGCCCTGGTTCAGTTGCCAATTTGCTTTGTGAACTTGGAGGGAGTGGTTGTCTTTCTCATATTTCCTATTGATATGATTATCAATACCAAATCTACTTGACCAGGGTGCTGTAAAATCTATGGGGATCTGAAAAAGTTTCAAGTGTGTATCAGATGGTGTTACTGCCATCTGTACTTCCTTCTTAAATTATGTGGTGGGTTTCATGTGTCAGTTCATACTCCCTGTGCTGCTACAAACATAACTATGTTACATCATGAAATGGGCATCTTACAGAAGACAAACCAGAAGTTCCTGATTGTAGTTTTGTGATCCAAATTAAATTTTCCCATGGGCCTAAAACCATGATCAGCAATTTTCATCCTCTAAGTACACCAGAAGTATTTTATCATGAGAAAAATGTGATCCCATTAATTAGATATGGTAATGAATCTTTACTCTTTTTAACTTTTAATTGTGTACATGCGTATGTATTTTTTTTTTTTTTTGTGTGTGTGTGTGTGTGTGTGTGTGTGTGTGTGTGTGTGTGTGTGTGTGTGTATGAATGTCTGTACCTCTGGAGGCTGGAAGAGGGCCTTGGATCCCTGGAGCTAGAGTTAAAGCAGGTGTGGGCTGTTCAACATGGTTCTAGGAATCAAACTCAAGCTCAATGGAAGAGCAGCAAGTGCTCTTAACCACTGATCCATCTCTCTAGTCACAGAGTGAATCTTTTAAGAGTACATGTTACATGGAACAACTGAAATTCTTCTGTAAGAGCAGTACTAGGCAAGAAGTCACTGACCAACCATGAAGTGGATTCCAGGAAAGCTAGTCTTGTGGATGGAATGAGTGAATGTGGGGGGGGGGGGGTTGCGTGGGGGGGGACGACTGGCTTTTTAGATGCCATCTATCACTATAAGAAAGGCAAAAGGAAAATCTCTACACTCTAAAGATGCCCTCAGTTTATCTCTACCAACAAAGCTTCTCTAACTAACCAGAAACTTCCCAAGTATTGTCTTATGCAATATCATATTAAATTCTTCTGTGTTCTCCATTTCTTCTTCAATTGTATTGCTCTGTTTTGTTTCTCTCTGGATGTTTTGGTAACATGTTGTTTCTTCCTAAAATGAATTATTTCTGTTTTTGTAAGTGAATATTTGTTTTCAAATATGTTAACATTTGGTCATTCATTCTAGTTTCTTATCTCCTAATTGTGTGCCTATCCAACAGTTGATTTCAATTAAGGCAATTTGTCCTCGATTCTTTGTTTTGTTGCATTGTCTGAAGAAGGGATGTGCTTCCTTTGAACTCTTCAGGCTTGCTCCTTGGTGAGGTTCCATCACCCCACAGAATCTACATGCATGCATGCTGTGTTTGAGGGTTCACTGCAAATGGAGCCAAAAACTCTGGGTCCAGTGGGCTTCCCAGGAGGGGTGGTGTTTGG